TGGTTGGACAACCTCAACAATGTATCTGCCCCAACAGCCATTCGTTGACAACCAGTGTCGATTGTGGCGCATCCATCATCATGCGTACTGCTTTCTGACCATGTGGAAGACTGGCTTGCTGACGTTTCTGTCCTCCTGTGGCGGTCTTTCGGGTGATCATGATTCTCGGATGCCTTCCCCCGCAAACTAGAATCCCCCAAAACAAACGAAACTTCACTCTCATTTCCCTCAAACCCCTTACCAATAGCAGCGCATTGGACCTTATATCGGGAATGAGATGTGTGCTTCTGTCCAGCTACAGAGTGGGAGCTGGATACCACTGCAAAAACACTGGTTTTCCGATCACCCTCAGGCTCAGTCGGGCTTTTGCTCGATGTAGTGGAGGTCACCGTCGGAGGCATCAGTGAATCTTTCTTCACGTCCATCTCGACGACAGTGCCCTCCTGCTCCATGAAAGCCTCTTCTGGCGGTTCATAGTCCTCTTCAAGGTGGCGCATTTGATCTCCATAGATCTCTCGATCCAATTGATCTTCGGGATCCATCAGGCGGAAGAGCTTCTCATCATTGAAGTCCTTCATGTTCTCTTCCACGGTCGGCTCACTCACCTCAAGATGCCCACAGAAGAAGGCTTCTTCCGATTGTTCTTCCTTGATCTTCTCCATGTAGTAGTTCTCTTTCGTCGCGCTCTTTCCACGACCTTTGCCATCAGGACATTCTCGATGCCAATGTCCCACCCGCTTGCAGATGGCACATCTGCTGTTTTGCTTTAGCTGGTCGATCAGCTTGCTCTTGCCTTGCTTTCCTTTTTCTTTTCCAGACCCTTTCCAGCCTCCATAGCCCCTGGCGAGCTCTTTGGCTTTCTTCAACTTCATGCTCTGGCTGAAGGTCCGCTTCTGAACCAAAGTGTTCAACACCTCTCGAACTTCATGTTCGTCCAGTGTCTCGTCTTCTTCACCTTCGCCTTCTCCAGCTGGTCCATTCTCTTCTTCTTCGTCCTCGAGCTCCTCGAGGGCGGCCTCGAAGATCTCATTCTCGTCGAGGTAGTCGGTGTGCTCATCGGTCACGATGTGGTGCACTGATGCCGTAGCCGATGAGCTAGACGCTGTCTTGCCCTTGTTCCTGTTCAGCTCGATGCCCACTTCTTTGGCCATGAGTTTCGTTTCGTGTTTTCTGACCCAATCCTTGACGTCCTTCGTGGAGATGCTTCCCCTCGTGAAGTTCATCATGTTTTTGATGTCCTGTTCGCCCAGATTCAAAGCGTTGATCAGGAGGAAGCCCTTGTAGGGGTCAGGTAACTCCACTTTGTGTGAATTCACTCGCCTCATTGCTTCTTCCCATCGATTGAAGAAGATGCGGTGCTCCTCATTCTTCTCTCTGCGAATATGGTAGGTGATCTTGGCCAGGGAGCTCAGCAAATCTTCTTCACGATCATCACCGAAGTTCTCGGGCAAGTCCATTGCAGCCAGTAGTTCATGCCCTCCTTCATCGTTCTGGAGCCAGGTCGAATCCCTGGCCCAATGCTTGAAGGTCTGGAATGCCACTCCTGACAGACCCTGAAGCAACATAGGACCCTGTGAATTCTTCCGGGTCTTGGTGGTGGCCAGCCATAGTTTGGCCTTGATCAGCCAATCCTGGAAGGGGATCGAAGTCCCATCCCACTCAGGAGCCTTGGCGCTGGATCCCCCGCGCCAATCACTGTCGTCTTCTCGAGGTCCACCTCGATCATGGTCACGAGCTCGACGTCGCCGGTCGCGAACAAATTCACGGTACTCATCACTATCGAAACCATCCGACCAGCCAGGGCCTCCTGGCGTCATGCCATCTCTATGAGATCGTCCAGGGCTTTCACGATGCCCTTCCTCAACTCCACTTCCATCCGCCATGGCAACTAACCTAAACTAACACGGACGCACCCTGGAGCTTGTCGCTCCGCTACCACTATGGATCAAACCTGACGGACATTTTTCCGCCAGCCACAGGGTCCTTGCCCCGACTTGAGCCACGGCGTACGTGGCTTGCTTTGGTACACTTCTCGTTTGTGCGTTTCAGCCAACAGGAGACGGAATTCACAATTTATTTTTCCCCCCCAAACAGTGTGGGCACACTGAGGGGTTCTTACGGTAGTAGAAAAGCAGCTGGGGCACAGGTGCTTAGATCGCTGAAGCGCGCGGGCGTGCGCGGCTGATTCGCTGCTATTTACACACAATGCTGAGGACAATGCTGAAGGTGTTCTTTAGCCACTGAGCACAAGGCTGAGCACAACGCCCTGCGCCATGACAGTCGCCGCAAGTCATAGTTTATAGATATATGTATATATACACTACCCCCCGCCAACGATCTACCATGTTTGCCTCTCGCACGCATGTCTAAGTCAATATTGTACATAGGTCTACGTGCAGCAAAGAACATTGCAGCAGGTTGAGGTTATACTTCTAGGTGTTGTATATTTTGGTGAAAGCCAGAAGATTCGGAGCAAAAGACAAGGTTGTTTGATGCAAAGAAAGGGAAGGAGAAGAAGACCTTTTTTCCCCAAACAGTGTGGATTCGCTGCTATTTACAGTACATTCATGACTCTCGACATCGTCCATGTGCACTTCGACTGCGCAGGCTCGCAAAATCTGCCTGCCGGCGGCGGGTGCTTCAGGCGACTGCGCGCTCGTTGTGGCGCCGCGCGCATTTTGGCACATGGTGGTCACTTTTCGCGACAGGTGCGAGGGAAACCTCGTGTTTTGGTGCTCCAAAGTCGACTTTTCGTGACAGGTGCAAGGGATCGGAGCTGTTTTACTTCGAAATGCAGTTTTCGTGGCAGGCGCAGCACTTCGGACATGGCGGTGGTCGTCGACGAGCTCTGATTTCGTGACAGGTGCAGTGAATCGTGACTTTTCGACATGTGGCTCGTTTGCAGATTTCGTGGCAGGCACAGCACTCTGTGACCCTTGATGCGCAGATTTCGTGGCAGGCGAAGCACTTTGTGAACCTCGAACTGCAGATTTCGTGGCAGGCACAGCACTTGGTGAACCTCGAGGTGCAGATTTCGTGGCAGGTGCAGCACTTGGTGAGCCTCGAAGTGCAGATTTCGTGACAGGCACAGCACTTGGTGAACCTCGAAGCGCAGATTCCTGGCAGGCACCGCGCTTTGTGAACCTTGAAGCGCAGATTTCGTGGCAAGCACAGCGCATGGTGAACCTCGAAGTGCAAATTTCGTGGCAGGCAGTACTTTGCACACTGTCATTCTCATCCACACTCACTCCCACCCACACTCACTCTCACTCACACTCGCACTCCCTCACACACTCACTCACACACACACTCACTCACTCACTCACTCACTCTTCCACTCCCACTCCCACACTCACACTCCTCACTCCCACTCGCAGACTCTCACTCGCTCTCACTCACACTCGCACTCACACTCACACTCACTCGCCCACACTCACTCTCACACTCACTCTCACTCTCACTCCCACTCGCACTCACTCAGTCTCACCCAGACTCACTCGCACCCACCTTCACTCTCTCCCACACTCACCCACACACACACTCACACTCACTCTCATTCACTCACTCTCACTCTCACTCTAACTCTCACCTTCACACCCTCCCACACTCCCACTCACACTCACCTTCAGTCCCACTCATACTCACACTCACCCTCACTCTCACTCACACTCACTCTCACCCACACTCACTCTCCCACTCTCACTCACTCTCCCACTCTCACTCACTCTCCCACCACTCTCACTCACTCTCCCACTCTCACTCACACTCACACTACCTTCACTTCATCATCACCATCACCTCTCTGGACCCCAATGCGTCTAGATCTCTAGACGGGATAATTTTGCCGGGATAGTTTTTTTAAAGATGTATATGAATATGTATATAGGCAGAGTGGACAAGGAGGAGCTGGAAGTGGTGAAGTGGCTATGGCCGTCACTCGAGAAAGACTGGAAATAAAAAGTGGAATACAGAGAGGTTTGGGACGGGTCCGCTTTTGCGTCTCGATGTCGGGGCGTTGTGGAGGGGAAAAAGGGCACCCTTGCAGTATGGGGAAGGTTTGGTATGGTGTGTTGGTCGATGCTTCAAGTGAGTTGACGGCTGGCTTTCGTGCTTAGATATCCCCTGGTTCTCAGTTAAACTTGGAATGTGGTTTGGAGTAAGCGCTATGGTTTCCAGCAACAGCTGGCCACTTCAAATGGCACCAAACTGCCAACCTCTGTGGTATGGATGGACTCATATGTACAATTTTTTCAATAACTGCACAAGATTACACATGTGATTGGTAGAGCAAGGAGATTGCAGAAACTCAAGGCGATGGTCTATGTCCACGTTTCACAGTGCTGCTCGAATGTGGAGTGTCCACTTTCCGGATGTTTTTGTCGACCCACGGGAGAAGTGCTGCTCAGCTTGGGAAGCTTTCGTCGCAGGGACGGGCTCTTAACACATGTCATATGGGGCGCCCTTTTGAGTCCAGTATATAACTAGACCTTGCCACGGATAACAAAGGGCACCCCTAAGCTATTCAGGACCTTCCGCCTCCAACGCTTGCCTGCTGCAATCTCTTCTCTCTCCTGCCCTAACCCCCCAATCCACGTGATCTCCCACCACATAGGGGGTGCCCTCTTCAGTTCGGTTCTCTCGCAGGCCCTCAACAGATGGCATCATGCACTCTCTTCTCTCTCCTGCCCTCAACAACCCCCAATCCACGTGAACTCCCACCGCATAGGGGGTCTGCCCGGCAGCAATGCTAAGCTTAGCCGCAACTACGATCTATTCTCTTTCCATGGCCTGTCCACCTTTACTCACTTCGTTCGCTCCAACAACCTCAAGCCCTGCCTACCTGCTGGCTTTCGTGACAAAGTATAACACATATGTAATCTGGAATAAGAATACAATAATGGTGTGTGTGTATATACATAATATATATATATATATACAGCACCAGTTTCAACACAAACCTACCAGGTTGGACGCCCCCTTTGTCCCTCTGGGCTGGCCACGGCCGAAGGTGCGATCTCCACCGTAGTCTGCGCCAGCGGTGGGATCAAGGCCGATTTCTCGGACTTGAAGTCGCCGGCTTTGAGCCAATCACCGTCCAATTGGAACGCCAGCTCACAGTCATTGATGATCTCAATGATCATTTCTCACCGAAGACAGGACCTTGGATGTGACACATGAAAACCGGTGTCATCGAACTGGAAAGCAGATCGAGGTGTCTCTCAGCGCCCGACGCCTTACTCAAGTTGGCCAGTCCGGGAAGAAATAGCGACTCGTTGACTAGAATTGCAACACTTTTGTCTGTCGTGTGTGGGCTGCTGCTAAACGCAGAGACGCTGGGTAGATCCTCTTTTTTGGCCCATCCTGACGATGCACCTCCACCCCTCCCAAGAAGGCCTTACTTGCTTGTCTCATGCAGCAGGTACTGACTCCGCATGCCTACTGCTCTGCTGCTCTGTGACTGCTCAAGGACCATGCGTGATCCAAGTGTTTGCCCTGTGCCTGTCGTGTGCCCTAGACATGTTGGTTGACCGGACTTGACGAGTTGAAAAGGCAAGCGGAGCAAAGTCCAGCGTCATGAAAGATTGGAGCAACCAACGACACAAAGTCTACGACTCAACACAAGCATGTTTTGTCACACCCCATCTCTGACTCACATTTCTACTGCTGTCCCACCGGGTTGATTCAGCTGGAGCTTAAGCAAATTCGGTGGCTGCGCACACGGTGTGGTTCTCCAAGTTCAGTACTGCATGCCCCCACATGTCGGGGATGTAGACCACATCCCCAGCCTCCTGTTCCAGCACACAAGCTCCGCTATAGCATTGCTCTACCTCCTCCACACTACAGTTCACCGCATCCAGTGGGTGCAAGCGAGACATGGCAGACATGCTTGGTGGCCTGAGCCACCATCGCTTCTTGCCCAGCAGAAGCAGGTTGACCGCATCCTGGTGAAAATGCATCGGGGATCCACTGCCAGCATCTCCGACGGCAAATTGAAGTGTGGTTGTGCGGAAGGGGCAGCTTGAGTGAAAACATGGAAAGGTTAAAGGACCGCCCACCACCAAGCCAAGAACTTCTGCAAACACGCGAGCAATCTCGGGCTGGGCTTCGTCATCCACCGCTACAAAGAAGTAAGAAGCAATGGAACCGCGCACAGCTCCTTTTCCACTTGAGCACTGAGCTCCTTCATCGATGCGCCGCCGCTTGCAGCTTCGCAGGAATTCTTCCAAGGTCACGGGCTGCTCTAACGATGCATCCAACCCGAAGTCTGATCCATAGGGAATGTGAGACACCTGCGTTCGGCTTCAAACAGTTCCAGCCTCCTACACATTCCACACATCTTGCAGATCCACTTGACACATCTTGAAACCAAGTTGTGCCAAGAGACGAGTGCTCTGGCTGCAGCAGCATGCTTCAACAGGTCCTCCTTCTGCCAAGAAAAGCCTGGCCTTCGCGAGTTGTTCATGCCATGGGCAGACACAGTACGGTAGGCCATGATTGAAGTGCAACCCTGCCAATTAGAGGCTCTAGTTTTCGTTGTTCCGCTTGTCATCGCGGCATGACCATCGGCCATTGGCACACGAATGGACTAAGTCAAAGCAGCACTAGACTAAGCTCCGATCGAAATCCGCCTGCAAGAGTCGGATCCACAGGCGCCTGAGTCGACGAACCGAGTCGTCAAAGCTGCGAGCATTTGGGTCTCGGTTTGCTCCTCTCTCTGGGCCACCTGCTTCCCAATGTGGTGCGTGCGCGCTTCACAAGCACCTGAGGCCGATTTTGCTGCACCCACATTGCTCTCTTGCACCGCACTTGTCCGATCTCCTTCAAAATGATGTTCATTTGGAAGCAATCAGTTCCATTGAATGTCCTTTTGCCTGCACCCACTTGCAAAGATTACAGTTGGCCCATGCCACATTTTGGAACGGGACTCTTCTTTTCACCTCGGTTTTAAGAAATGTCCAGAGACACTATCGTAAAGCTTGAATCCAAGGAAAAAGGTCTTGATGCTATCCCTCTACCACCGGTGTCAAACCAATTCAAACTAATTACTGTATATAACGGGCTTTTTGCTGCGTGCTTGAAGGTTTGCCTCGCTACCGCTGCCTGCATGTCTCCTTATTTCCTAGGGAATCAGTACCAAGCCTGACCAGGCCTCCAGTACCCGGGTCCAAGACTCTGGCTGTGAGCAAAACTTGGATCTGGGTCGGGTAGGTATGTATAGGATTCTTTCACAGCCCCTCCCTCCAATGGATTTCTTTACCAGGCTCTACTTCCTGTGGAGCTCCATCTTCTTTTTTCCTCGCCGCTCTAGCACAGTCTCCTCCGCCCAAGTGAGGGATTCGTCAAGGACATGGCAGCCACCCAGCTCTTCCAAACATCGAGAAGCATTTCGGCCAAGGTCCAAGTAGTGGTTCACACGAAGGAGATCCACGTGCAAGGAGACAATGCTTTGACCATGAGCTCTTGGCTGGGCCAAATGCACTGCAGTTTGCAGAACGTTCACCTAATCAAACAAACAATGCAGGCCTGCGGCAGGCCTAAAAGGCCTAAAAGGCAAAAAAAACGTGTGTACCTGTGAGCGACCAGTGCTGGCAACATTCAGCTAAATCCTGTTTATCAGCTGAGCGGCAGGATCAACAATCCAAGCAAAGGATTGAAAATGCTGTGAATCTGCTTCCAGCCCTCGCAAGCCTGGATCACGACTCATTTCCACACCTCGCTTCTGTGTCCAAGTGGTGAAAATGCTGCGGCCAGCTCTGCGGGGGCCACCCATGGGTTCCTGGAAAAGCTCAAAGACCACAGTCCCAGGAACCTCATTCGCCCACTGCTGGATCCAGGTTCCCAAGGGCAAATCCTGGCGATTCACGATCGAGTGATTCACATGATTGCAATGTAACTCTACCTGAAATGGAAGCCAAGTTATGTTCCCGTCGGTGAGCCCAACATGCCTTCTAAATAGGCATCCTCAGGCCTCAGGCCTGTCAAGAATGAATGCTTTTCCAGTCGTCCAGTCAACCTGCCCAGCTGACAGCGGCCCGACCATAACAACTATAGTGGGCCCCAAATTGATAGAAATGATGTCCAATACATTTTTAGTGGAGATCTATATACTGTTCTATCTATATAGTTGGGGTCAGTCTATTTACTTTCTACCTATTTGGTACTGCGCACCCGAATGGCCAGACCAAACGGGAGCATTCCCAAGCTGTTCTAAGAAATGGCCACCATGGGGGGGAAGGTGTAAATTCAAAGGGGTGGATCTTTCCTCGGCCTAGCAGAGGTGCGAGCAAAAATGAGCAACCGAGACACCTGCAGTTTCTCGGCTAGAATGCGCGAGTGGAGATACTCCTCGAAGGAGTGAATGACCACCACCCAGTCAGACACCTGTCTGTTCTCCCAAATGCATAGCCTTGCAATAAATGCAGCAGCACCGATTTGTGCATGCTTTCACATGTCAGGTGGTATTCTGAAATTCCTCTGGGTCAATTGGAATATGTAAGCACACCACAGCAGAAAGCACAAAGTACTGTAAAGCAAATACGACAAAAAGCAACCTTTTTTCACGTTTCCTCGCGACCCTTCATTTCAACCAAGCAGCTCCAAAGCATGTGGTTCCAAAAGCATGTGGCCTCATCCCCGCACCAGTAGTGATGAGTGCTGAGTGAAAACGGTCCGATAGCAGCTTGCTCATGAGAAAAGCGATTTGATCAGTCTAGCGGCTAGCGTTAGTCACCAAGAATTTTTGGGGAGAAGGCGTAGGTAGCTTCCAGCAGATCAGCATAGCGTTACTCTCTACGTGTTGGTGGCAGGGGCACAAGTGGAAATGACATCCAAAACACCTAGTCATCAAAAATTGAGCATGCATGTTTCTGGCACTGACCTGCTGGACGCCATTTAGGCCTGTCTGTGCCTTCTCAGAGAGCGCAATGCCAACCCCAAGGTGTTCAGTAGCCTTTTGAAACATCTCTCGATAGGTGGAGGTAAGAAAAGCGTGCTGTTCCAGAACGCTACTAGGAGCAAGGACGAAGGATGCTACTAGTAGCTGACTGAGCTCCGCAGCACGGTGTCTGTCGTCCTTTACTCCACTCGACCAATATATATATATACACCATACAACTCCGGTTTCAACAGGGTTACTATTCACCTCCCATTCTTGAATGCATAGAATGTCAACCTGGTGGCCTTGCATGAAACAAACTGAGGGAAGATCACCCTCTACAGTTCAGAGATGCAATACTGAATTGTTCAAATTGTTTACTTTCAAGGGAGTGTGCTTGGTAATCTGGTTGCAATAGAGCATTTATATAAGTCAGAGTCCTTGGGGCAGTTATGGAGGTCATCTGGGGAGTTGCAAGCGGCAGTGAATGTCGATTCGTTTCAATCCGTTTCTTGGGCATCTACTCGGCCGTTGGTTCTTGGGCTTGATACATGCCGGCCTGATTAGCCACATCAAAGGCCTGCGCCCTGATTTGTCGGTACATGAGGCGCTGCCCTCTACATTTACAAGAACGGTTTACACGCCGTGATGAGAGGGCAGCAAGGCTGCTACATTTCTGGATATCTCTGTGTGTGGGCGCGCATATCTGTGTGCATCTTTGTGTGCACAAAGGTAAATGAAGTAATATATAGTAACAAGAAGCTACTAGGTGGAGACCATCGCAAGTAGGTTGGAGGCCATCGCTACTAGGAGCAAGAAGCTACTAGTAACAAGGGCATTGTGTTGCTTTAGATGTGGGTATTTTCAGTTGTTCAAGGTACGGTGTGTCTTTCGTGTCCAATGTGCCGACAGGCCGCGTTGTTTTCTCAGCTCCTTGGCTTCAGCGGCAAGGCCCAGCTTCGGAGACACCTCGACCAAAGCGTCTCTACAATGAAGGTGGGACTTTGGGGAAGAGCCCTGATTCAAGTTCTTGTTCTCCTTTTGTCTAGGTTCAAATGAATCAACTTGAGGGGTCTGCGGAAGCACCTTGCAATCAATGCAAATGACTGGAGCCTATTAAGCCCCCAGCCTGATACGGGAAACGTTCGTGGTAGGTCACAAGCCCCTGCTCCACGAAGGGCTGCACAAATCGCTTGTACGACCTAAGACGAGAACTTGCTTTAGGGCTCCCACCCGCGGGAGCCTGCGATGCCTTCATAAAGACTCTGAGGACTTAGACACGGTGCGAGCAGGGGGGGGCAGTACCCTAAATACCTGCATTCGTGGGCGCTTGAGCAACTGTGCTTCCACGTCATGGACTGTAAGCTGCAGGCAAGCCGCCCGTCTGTGTCAAAGACCTTGCCCCATATTTCACAGCAAAAATGAAGCGCGCAAGACTGCAAAGGCATCACTTCAGACCGCACCCCTTCCCTACACACGTGCCACCATGGGACGGTGAAGTGTTCTATGCCGATCGCAAAGTGGTAATTCAGCCAGTCTTCCACAGCATGTGGCAGGAGTTTGTGTATGCGGTCAGCGTGATGCAGCCTCAACACACATGCGAGACAAGTTACCGTAAGAATGTTGACGTGCTGAACTCTGCTCGACCGTGCTGAAAAGCAACACAAGCACAGGAAAGCAGGAAAAGCAGAGAAGCACTGAGAAGCAAGGAAAAGCAAGGAGAGCAGGAGAACAGGAGAGATTATAGAGAAGCAAGTACAAAACAAGCACAGAAAAGCAGGAAAAGCAACAAATCATCAAGAGGCAGAAACAAAAAAAATACCCCTCCAAAGACAGTCGTCTGACCACGTCTCCCAGAAACCCAACAATACGATTCTATGGTTGCCACCCTACTGGCATAAACGCTTGGCACACGCCAAGTAAAAACGCCGCCACTACCACCAAACAGGTCCAGAGACGGAGAGCTGCAAGCCGACACACGGCGAACCACCGCCCGGCTGCGAGGGCATAAGCGCAAAGGTTCGGGGCGCCAGGCAGCTCGCAGCTGAAGCCTTGTCGAAACGGGTCGAGTCTTTGCACTACATGTTGGGTAAAGTTGGGTAAAGACTTTGTGTGTGGTTGTAGTGAGGGCATGCACCATTGGGCCTATAGGGTCTCATCTGACATGTCAAGATTTCATCATCTGCGATCCATTCGGTTTGATATTTCCCATGTCCGCTCAAAGCAGTGAAAGACCTAAAGGTTTGGAAAGGCACCAGGAAAACCGTGCAAAGACAACCTATGCGACAGCAATGCACGCCGGGCACACCAGGGTACACCAATCCAGTGCAAACCAATGCAAAGCAGTGCAAATCAGTGCAAACCAGTAACTCCAATGCTGCAGTCGCTCTCGTCTCCCACCTCGGCTCAAGAAGCTTCAAACCAGCCAGCTGAAAGAGGCCGCGTTGACCAGTGCAGCTTAGCACAAGGCTGCTGTGCTGAAAGAGGCTTCCACTTGGCAAATGCAATCAGAAAGTTAAAAAGAGAAAAGTCCTTGAACAAAGCACACAGCTCTCTACAATAGCAGCCATGATTGAACTTGATACTGTAAATACGTGTATAATGCTTATGTATATATATATATATATATGTGCGTGCCTGATTTATGTGTATATATATATAGCGTTTTTTATATACTTTGGGTGGAATCTTCAATCTTCAATCCAGGAGGTACGAGGACCTCTTCGTACCTCTCTCATGCCCAAATATTATAAGTCAGTGTAATTGCCAGACTTTCCCTGTCAGCTCAATCTATGTTCCTGAAGTTAAATTTTCCCGAACTTAAATTTAAAATACAGCATAGCTCTAATAGTCTAATATTAGTAGAATTATGTTTTATCTTTGATGCGGGGAAGAGACATCTAAAGTTAAAGGGTTGTTGGCCATTTAGGTATTAGGTGCATATGTGTCAAAGCAAGCAATGAATGGAAGGTAAAAGTAATTACAGTACCTGTTATGCTTGTAATTGTTCTTTTTATCAAGTGCATCTCAAATCAATCAAACATAACAGAATTATGAGCACGATCTAGCCTTTAATGTTTCATGATATACTTATTGTGAAATTGCATCATAAATCTTCCAATATTACTTTTTTGGTGATGAGTTGTGGGGCTGCTATACTTTACTTGATGAAAACTTTTGAAATGCTCGCTGCTTGACTGTGATAAAGTGATATGAAGAAACATACAAGAGACCCTAGTACATGTTTGTTCACCCCTTCAAGGTCAACAAGGTCAAAAACGTTTGATGGTTGACGGGATGCTGTGTGAACCATGACAGTTTGAACCACAAGCACAAAGAGAGCTTAGCATATTCACCCAAGTTTGAGGAGCTTGCATTTGAGCATGGGGGAGGAATGGGCGATGTGGTGAGGGTGGATGCCTATACTGGATGGTCTAATTGGGACGATGGTTTGGAAAAGGGCGAGGATTGCAGGATGAAAGAGATGGAAGGCAAAATGGGGGCCAAGGGGCGGGCTTGATAAATAGGGCCAATAGGGGGAGGTGTCCCCACTATCAGAGGGGGTAGGGCCTGTGTGAGGGGCGCCCTTTGTGAGCTTGAAAACCTTAAGATTTGATAGAATGTTGCTAAAAAAATGAAAGAGATTTGCTAGAGTTTTTAGTGGTTGTGGAAAAATGTTGCTTGGGGGAACATTGGTCATCAGAATGGTTGGTAGCAAGAGCCTTCAGGAGAAGCAATCAGAAGGTTGGGTGAGCAGCTTGAGGCAGCTGAGGGGTGGTGGTGAGAATGATCAAGATGAGATCATTAAGACACCAGCATCCCAAAAAATGAAAACACCAGCACCAGCTGGAATGATTTCATGCAAATGGCATGTGAAAAGGCTGGGGCAGAAGATCAGTTTCACAATGGATCAGCTTCACTATAGTAGGAAGATCTTGGATACTACTGTAACTGAAGAGGAAGTATTTCAGCAACATATTGTAATAGAGTTTTAAGTTAGTTTAGTGTTGGGGGCCGAGGTAGGCTTGATATAGCTTGATTGAGTATTGCGGGAGGTTACTTAATCCATCTTAATCCTATGTTAACATGTTGCCAAAGGGAGCCGCCTGCCATTCTCCACGCAAAAGGTGGGTATTGGTAGGGGGTAGGTAGCATATATATACTGCGAGGGGACATGCTTTGGAAGCTGGAAATTAATAGTTTTCGTG